TCCTGGTGCCTGATTTCAGTGTTTTACAAGTCGCTTATTCCGTCTATCTCTAAATTAACTTTCTCGTTGGTGGCGCTGTCCGGAATGAGAAAAATAATAAGAAATAAGAGACTTGTGGCAAGTCTACTTTATAATGTGAAACTACGAAAACACATCTCCTCTCAATTAAAGTAATTACTTGATACAAAATGTATTTGAATTGGAGAAACACTAAAGATTAGGTAGCACTAAAATTGTATCATTAAGTGTACTAAAAAAAAAAAACACGAACAAATATGTAATACATACGCACATCTGTCGTCATGTCAACATTGCCTACAAAAGACAATTTACGGGGATATTTACTTAATTCAATGCAAAATTTATTTGGCAAAAACAAGTGCAGATAAGTTAGATAGTAACATTAGGAAAGGTAATAGCTTGAGCTGCCTTATCTGACAATAACACAAGCTTTACAAGCACCAATCCGGCGTTTCATATCAAATAATATAGGGTTATTTTGGTAGGCCTAATTAGCTTATTTATAATACAATAGTCTGAGTATTAACTCAATAGCTTACCTGAAACACCAGAAGTTTTACAGGATTTAAGCATTTTAGTGGTTTTACTATAGCCATTTTCTGCTACACATTTGGCTACCACATTACAACTCACAACTCCATAAGTTGAGGTCATTTTCCCGTTTGCAACAACATCACCATTGACTGTGATGGTTGTATTTGGCTCTGGTTGGCCTTCAGCAACACATGTAAGATGTCCTTTTATTAAAGAAAAGGTGCTGATCAAACAATCTAAAATTACAAAACAAAAAACATGAATAAGCATATATATGTGTACCTTATCTTTTAATTATATTTAAGTTTTGTGTCATCTTCATCATTTCAAATCTCCATCATCACCTCCATTATCTTCATCATCATCATCTTCTTTATCATTATCATCATTTTTATTATCAGCATCATGATTTTGTCAAATTCTTTATCATCATCTATATCATCATCTTTATGTTATCATCTTTATCATCATCTTTATTATCATCTTCATATTATATTATCATCTTTATCATCTTTATTTTTATCATCATCCTAATGATTTTCATCTTTATTTTTATCATTACCATAATGATTATCCTCTTTACATCATCTTCTTTATTTAAGTTTTGTGTCATCTTCATCATTTCAAATCTTCATCATAATCTTCATCATCTTTATCATCATTATCATCACCTTTATTATCAGCATCAAATTCTTTATCATCATCCTCTTTATCATCTTTATAAGTCATCATCTTAAATATGCAAAAATTGGACCACGCCCCTTTTTATATGAACGGCTACTTTAAATAGAAGGCTAGATAATCTGAAAATATTGCAAACCAGAGTTTTTCTTTTGTAAAAAACACAATTAATGAGGGGTCACATTTCATAAATATCAGCTTAATCACACAAGTCCCATTCAGAATTTTTTCACTGAAATTTGATCCCCTCATCATGTGTTCTTTTATAAAAAGAAAAAAAAATTAATATGTTCATATTGTCTAGCCTACTGTTTAAAGTAGCACTTGCAGTGAAAAGGGGCGTGGTCATTTAAAAAGGTGTGGTCATTTTCAGGCTGTTCGTTCCGGATACAGATTTTGTTATTCCTTTGGTTCAAATTAGTTTATAAGAAGAAGAAGAAGAAGATGATGATAAAAATAAATATGATAAAGATGATGATATATGAAGATGGTGGTTAAGATAAATTTGTATATGAACGAGATATGTGACCAAGGTGTGATTTCTGAAATGTTATCCCCTTATCATATGTGTTTATATACGAAAATAGTCATTGTTTGCAATGTTTTGAGATTATCAAGCCTACTGTTCAAAGTACACTTCAAATGAAATAGAGGAGTGGCCACCATCTGTGTGCATGTATAAGCAAATCTGCATATGAACAGGACATGTGACCACAGTGTGATTTCTAAAATGTTATCCCCTTATTATTTATATAAGAAAAAAACCATTGTTTGCAATATGTTTAGATTGCCTATCCTACTATTTAAAGTAATGATTCAAATATAAAAGAGGCTTATAACCTCTATTTATTTTTTTCTTGCATAATTTAAGCTAACTGCATGTGAACAAGATATCTGACCACAGTGTGATTTTTGCAATTTTATCCTCTCATCATATGCATTCATTTATAAAAGTAAAGCCTTGTTTTCAATATATTCAGATAGCCTACCCTACAGTTTAAAGTATTAATTTAATTAATAAAGGGGGCGTGACCCCATTTTTGCATATTTAAACTACAGTAATTTGCATATGAACGGGACATATGACCACAGTGCAGTGTGATTTCTGAAATGTTATCACCTTATCATATGTGTCCATTTATAAAAGAAAAACCCTTATTTGCAATATGTTCAGATTGCCTGGCCTACGGCTAAATGTAGTGCTTAAATAAAGAAAAAGGAGCGTGGCATCTATTTTTTGCACAATTAAGCAAAAATCTGCATATAAACACGTGAACACAGTGTGATTTATAAAATTGTATTCCCTCATCATATGTGTTCATTAAATTAAGGAAAACCATTGTTTGCAATGTGTTCAGCTTGCCTAACCTACTGTTAATGAAGCACTACCAACTAAAAAAAGGCGTGTCCCCTATTTTGCATATTTAAGCTAATTTCAATATGAACGGGACTTGTGATTAAGTTGAGATTTCTGAAATTTGACACCTTATCATATGTGTTCTTTAATGAAAGAAACAACCTTTTTCGCAATACGTTCATATTGTTTAGCCTACTGTCCGGGATACAGATTTTGGCACACATTCCATGTTTTACCTAAGGTTCATATTATGTATATCAGTTGAGATATTCTCTCCTAAATAAAGTGCATACAAATATTAATCAGGTCCTCTACTAATTATAATACCTCTAAAAAGACATGGCAAAAGATAAAATTAGTGCCCTAACGTTCTCTTCGAAGTATGTACACGTACACAGAAAGGCTAATTAAAATGGTAAAATCAATTATAAATGACCAATAAAATCCTTGTAACGGAACTTAATTTTAATCTCATGAAGCCAACAGTCAAGATCCGTGACTAACACTACCACTAGATCAATTTCCTTTTTTTATCCATCTTTAATCAGAACAGTCAATGATCATGTCAGGCTAGTCATTTCTACCGAACCCTAAAACCTTAAAATGCTATAATTTATACTGAATACTTAATACACAGTAGTTGAATAGCTCAGTGGTTAAGATGCTTGCCTTCTGATCCCAGGGTCCTGTGTTCAATTCCTGTCACAGCAGGAATTTTTCTCACTACTACAAACAACTCCACTCCCTAAGCCTCATAAAGAGTCTTAGTTTATAAAGCATCATTATCATTATTATTATTATTATTATTATTATTATTATTATTACTATTATTATA